GGAGAAGAAGAAGAAGAAGAAGAAGAAGAAAAAAAAAATGACTATCATCTTGGACTCGCCCAATTTTGCCAACAACTGAAGATAATTTTTTTTTGTTTCGTTTAGAAATTTATTTTTATTTCTATATATCCACCCCCACCGCAACGAAACAAAGTAAAACACGATATGCAGTCATCTGTGAAAAATAAGCCACAATTTCAATAAAGCCAATTAGTAATAAAACGCCGGCCGACATTATTTTATGCATAAAGTATTCTGTAAATTTTCATGTTTTTACAATTGTTTTTTTTTCCATTTAAAACCATGTAAGCTCTAATCTCCCTGTTGCTCTGATGTCAACCTTGCAACCTACATCACCATAATAGTACTGTAATTTGCAACATAATATTTAGAAAATACTTCTGAATATCTAAAAAAAAAGAAAAAAAAAATCACTAGAGTTAATTCTACCTCCAAACCCACATACTTTGATGTTTGGCTCCACACTGCATAACACAAGTCCGTCTTTTGAAACACCCTGAATCCTTCACAGCTAATACACAATGCATCTAAAATCTGCATTGAGCGTTTTCATTTCACCTACGTATCACTAACAGATAGCGAATATTTAGTAAATACCGCAATGAAACACTAATAATCATAGTAAAGTAACAGAACTCAGAATTTTAAGAGGTGGGAGATGAGTGTGACTAATAAATGAACACTAGTTTGTGTATGCTTACGCTACGGATATATAGAGTAATACAACAGAATAGACAAAACAAGTAAAAAAAAAAAAGTGAATGATAATGAACGATCTTGAAAATATAATTTTGTCAAAAATTATTATGTCCTTTTATTTATTTTTCTTTATTCTTTTACCTCTTTCCTAACCATATATAGATTTCACTAATAGAGACATAAGCAATTCCTGTAGTTTACGTTTGATTTATCCTGTTGCATCGTATTGTGTCGAATATTGTTCCCTCACACTCTGTGATGATGAGTGAATTCATGTTTTATTGACTAGATTAATGTACATCTATTAGAAATACGAATGAGAACTGGTTAAGAAACAGAGGCGCATCTAAATGATTTTATTAATGAATAATGAATAAACATAAACAATATATAATTGTCATGAACCGTATTTGCAATGCAATGGTATGAGTGAGAATGAATATTTTTGCAATACAAGAAATGTATTGAGACCAGTTCCAAATATATCTATGTATTTCTGGCAAAGATGTATTATTATAGTAGTAGTATTATTATTATTATTATTATTATTATTATTATTATTATTATTGTCCGTTATTACTATCATTACTATTATTATTATTATTATTGTTTTTACTGATTTTATTAATATTGATATGATTAGTATCTTTATTATTTTCATCATTTTTGTTATCATAATCATTAACTGTTTAATCATTATCAATATTTCTTTTATTATTATTATTATTAATGTCATCCCCCTCATCATCAATCACGTGATGATGATGACGGTAATGAGTGGCAACCAACACGGCTTTCGAGATGGTCATGTTTTCCTGATAACACTCCTATCCTTAACAAACGAATCGCGGCTACATTATCGGCCCCGATAACTGGGGAGGAGCTAACAAGCATCTGGGAAATGGCGGAATAAAAGCGGTTGATCGAAGTAAATCGCTTAGTGATTTAGCTCTTGAGATGCACATTCATTTCAATTAGCCAAACGCCCTTTCACGGAGCTGTTCCCTCCATACACACCGTGGTCTACAGAGCCTCGTATATATTGGCAAGATGGCGCCCGGGCAAAAATCTGGGTCTCGTACCGATGGTTTTTACTTTGGCTAGTAAATCCAGAATGGCTAGTCTGCTAGTCTTCAGGATCCTCTTTTCCGTTATTACCATGTTTTTTGCGTGAAATGGGGAAAACAGTTTTTCTTGCACTTTATACATAGCCTATTTGATGGAAGTAATTTGAATTTCAACTGACTTCCCGTGTGTCCAGATTCTTTTGTCACGTGATTATCTATTACAGTTCTTATTGGCTCTAATAGACTGGCCGCTAGTGTCTATCGTGACGTCATGGCCGAAAACAGTTCCAATTGGCTCATTTGATTCTCGTCGCGTACGTCATCCGCTACAATTCCGTCCGCATATTTCGTCGCCTTCTCGATTTCGCGCCATTTTCTCTCGGTGGTGGATAGGCACGTAACTTGGAGCGTTTGGAAATGTAAAGCTTTGCCCTCTCTACTCCTCTTACTATATGCTAACGAAGGAAATGTTGTAAGGAAAAGTTAGAATATTACTTTTCATAGCAAGGTCAGATTCTTCAGTTTTAGTGTTAGCTGCCATTTTCTTCATCATTTTCCTTATTATTCTCATCAACATTTAAATTATTATTACTATGATGCATACTGTTATTATTATTATTATTACTATGATGCATACTCATCAACATTTAAATTATTATTACTATGATGCATACTGTTATTATAATAATTACTAAGAATATCATTTATCAGCA